CTTGTGCTACGGCGGTTTTCAAAAGTACATTTGAACGCGATTCTGTCGATTGTGAATACAAAATGGTAGTATCTTGTTCCGTTGTATGACTATCATTTACGAGGTGAACGTTTGTCGAATTTGAAGATAGTGGGTTTTGCGGGTTGCTGCTCTGATTATCTTTCGCGCGGAAATTCGTATGTGCTGAGTTACTACCCCCGTTTCTATGGCTTACCTCATGGACTGGTTTTATGCTATTTGTTAGACGTACATTACACAAGCTTGTATGGTGTTTCTTATTACAATGTCTACATGTGTGTTTAGATTTACATTCGTTTAGTCTGTGTTTACCAAGGCAATTAAAGCATAACTTATCACGTTTTACTATGTTCATACGGGATTCTGTGTCGGTTATTTTACTGCAATGGGTAGGTGCGTGTATTTCGTAACAGAAAACGCAAGGTCTAGTCTCAATATTCTTGTAAGATTTGGACTTCGGCGATTTCGCTCCGGCAAAGAAAGACGATGTTGTGGGCAAATTGTGTGTTGACTCTATCTCTTGTCCTGCGTCCATTATATCTATCTCGTCTAATATGCTTTTACGGAGGTCCCGTAATACCCAAGTTTTTGTTCTGTGTTCTCGCGCGAGATGTTTTCTGACTTCCCCGGGTAATTTGTTCATAATAATGGGAACAAGTAACGTGCCGTATGTTTCCTGTGTTTGACCCAAAGCTTCTAATCCCCTGACGTAACCTTCCATTTTATCGTAAAAACTTCGTAAGCTTGTTAACTGATTTCTAGGCGAAGGAATTTCTAATAATGCCTGCATGTATGCATTTATGATTTTATCTTGTTGACCGAACCTCTCTTTTAACAAATTTACGGCTTCATCGTAGTTTACATTTGTTAGTGCGAAACCTGCTATTGATCCTAGTGCTTCATGTTCTAGCTGTGCTTTCAAGTAATTAAATTTTTGTACATTTGTAAGTGACAGATTAAGATGTACGGCCGACTCATATGAGTCCCAGAAAGTTTGCCATTCTAAAATGTTGCCTGAGAAGGTTGGAAGCGAAAGTTTTGGTAGGCGGTGACTCTGATTACTAGTTGACGAAAATGTACTTTGTTGCGTGTTAAATGTGTGACTGGCTTGTACAGACGGGTTTTCAAAGGACTGTGCGTTGTGTGGGTTGGTTATGTTGTGCGTTGGAACAAACGGTATAGTTTCTGGATTTAACGTGTGAGTTGTAGTATGTGATTCAATATGACGGGACTGCGGGGTTTGGACATTTTGTATGAACTTACGTATGTGTCGAATCTTCGTTTCCATAGTCACTGAATATTCATCTGAATCAATAATCTCATTTTCCACATCTTCCGGTTCTGTTAACTTAAGAATTTGTTCATTTAAGTCCTCAAACAATGTTTGTTTTTGCACAAGTTTTCCGAGCGTTGCAATGACTTCTTCTTCATCGAAATTCGTATTCTCCTTTGCTTCATCTAATCTGCGGAATAGTCTGGCAACAGCGCTTCTGTTCCCAGATCGAACTGATTTCAATTTTTCGAGATTCATTGGTCACGGTACCATAAATATAGATGATATTTAGGCAATGTGTATAAAGACAACTGTTCAGCCATTACATTTTATATACAACTAACGTATTTCCGCCCAAGGCGACGTCACTGACAATACGACGTCGACAATGGACAAGTACAATAGTACGGACGTTATGTTCCCGCGACAATCTCAACATAACCATAAAAGAAGAATAAGAATTAGGATTATTAACTTAAAGGCGAATTTTCTGAAATATTTATACACCTCTCTCTCTCTCTCTCTCTCTCTCTCTCTCTCTCTCTTGGTTGATATATATTCCAATCCCTGAGACAAAGTTACCTTGGTCCGTTGTAGTCATATAGCTTCTTCTGTTTATACGTATTTCTACAGCCCTGACATTCAAATAGTTAGGATTGAGCATTCCCGATGAAAGTAAATCCACGAAAGAGATTCTGATGTTTATCATATATTATTTTCATGTATATTTTTATATAATTGAATGATTTCCAAAATTTGTTTATTTTGGTACATATCATTTCAGAGATTATGCACTTGACAAGGGATGATGCATAGATACATTTTCTCCAATATACACCTGGTCAGTATAGTTTGTGATGTAGCTCTTTTTCGTCTTTTTAAACTAGTAAGATAGGAACCTTTACATGATGAAAAGAGAAAATTACTTCCAGTTCAGTTTTCAAATAAAGGAATTGATGCAATCAACATTAGCAATGCTCTTCATCATTAGGAGGTAACATATAAAAATCCACTATTTTCAAAATCAGTCTGTCCATGTTGTATCCTTCAATATCACCAAAACCATTGCACCTGAAGTATTTATCTATAATCAAGCATATTAGGGCCTTGCTTTAGAAGAATACCTAAAAAACACTCTGACATGTGACTGTTCCCACCTGCCTTATATTTTCAGCTCCTCTGGCCATGTATATTACTGTGGATCTAAACATAATTGAACATGAACATCTCCGAAAGGTGATATCTCATGGTCCTAAGTTCAGAGAACACCAACACATCAATTGGAACCATAACTTCAAAATAATTATGGATTCCATTGAGGACTACGCCAGAACATGGGCTAAACGAGAAGAAGTTGAACTAGACATTTCGTCAGAATGGGTCAAAACAATCAGATCTCTGATAAAACGTCGAATTCATAAATTGAAAAACTGTGTGAATGATCGACCAAAGTCCGTTTTCAGAGACAAAGAAGCTGTGAAATATCTATCATCTCTTCACGATAAATATGTGTTGTTCCTGCGCACAAATAATATTGTCTTTGTATGTAAATCGTACTATTACGAGTGTCTTGTAAAATAATTAAGAAGTAATATGCACATATCATTTGACAAGGATGGATTTTGGCCAATCATAAGTCCTTCATGGCATCAATGAACATAACATTGAACAGCAAATCTGAGGACTAACCTTGTTTGTATTGGATATCTAAGCTTCACAAAATTCCGTACAAACAACGCTACATTGCCGGCGCATCTGCATGTTCTACAAAGGAATTGTCCATTACATTGACAAAAATTCTGTCCACAGTGAAAGAGGGTCTTCAAAAATACTGTAAAACTGTTTACTCGCGTAGTGGTATTTACCATATGTGGATTCAAAAAAACTCTACAGAACTTCTGGAAAATTTTAAATCTCGATCTTTCTCTGAAATAATTCTATCAATACTTTTGATTTTTCAACCCTGTATACCACCATTCCCCATGTGAAATTGAAAAATCGTCTAAAGGAAATAATCCACAATGATTTTCAATATAAGAATTGTAGCATACGCTATACATTTATTACTTTGGGATACCATACGTCATATTTTGCTAATAGTGAACAAAAAGGTAAAACATGCTACACAGAAGAACAAGTGATCAGTATGCTGGAGTTTCTTATTGACAACATATTTGTTGAAATTGGAGGTAGTCTTTTTCAACAAATTGTCGGCATTCCTATGGTAACGAACTGTGCACCTCTCTTTGCTGACCTCTTCTTATTTTCATATGAGTCGGAGTTCCTTCAGACACTTGTCAAAAACAAGAAGATCAAAGAAGCCAAATCATTTAATTTCACATTTAGATATATTGATGTTGTTCTTTCCATTAACAATCCAAACTTTTCTGATTGCGTTCCAATTATATATCCTCCAGAACTAGAAATTAAAGAAACAACAGACACGGCTTCATCCGCATCATTTTTAGACTTACACCTCGAATTTGACATAAGCGGTCATCTCAGTACCAGAATCTATGACAAAAGAGACGATTTTAATTTTGAAATTATTAATTTCCCCCACCTTAGTAGCAATATACCAACTTCACCTGCATATGGGATATACATTTCCCAACTCTTTCCGTATTCAAGAACTTGCAGCTACTACTCAGACTTTATAAAACGTCACCAGAAAGTTGATGAACCAGGGTTATGTCAAAGAACGTCTCGTCCTTTTTCTAAAAAAAAATTCATCGGAAGATACCAAGACGAAAAGCATCAAACGTTTGAGACAGAAAAATCAAAGGCCCCGTTATATTTCTCGTATATGTTAATGTTAATATCAATTTCAAGATTGATTTAGGAATTACTGTGATTAAAATGATACTGATCATGCTTTTAGTAAACACCTGAACAATATCTTTCATAACCTTTTAAGTTTCCAAATCATTTCTGTTTAAACGTTGAATCTGGAAGTGGAAAAGTTTGTATTACATCTTTTATGTTTGTTTATTTCCTTTTCTATGCGCACAAGGCATGAGCTCCTTGAATAACGATCATTAGGTAATCTCTAGACCACAACAAAATGTAAAATGATTGAGAGCATACAAACCGAAAGGGCATAAACAGCACAGACAAAATAAACAGCACAGACAAAATAAACAGTAAAAGATATTAGAATTATATCATGAATTGAAAATTAAAATCAAATCAAAATATCATTAGTCTAGATCGGATCTGTTCAAATCAAAGGTTCATGTTTTGGCTAAGGTTCTCCTGACACAAAAACCAACAAACAAGACAAAATCTTCTTCTGGAGTTCATGCAATTCCTTCAATTCTGTTTTTAACCTGATTTGTATCTTACTTGATTTATGAGATTTGAACATCAGTTAACTTGTGTGTTGATTTTGACAATTGTTAAGGGACTTTCCGTTTTGAATTTTCCTTGGAGTTCGGTATTTTTATTGTTTTACTTTTTTCATATTGTACTGACTAATCTGTATTTCTAAATACCATCGTTTCTACTGCGATTTACCAGCAATAAACTAATAAGTATATGTGTATTGAGTGGAAAGATGTGGCAGGATCGCCAATGATACAAATATCAACCAGAGACCAAATGAAGTGGAAGTAAGTAAATACAGAGAGACGTCAAACAATAAAAAGATCTTGAACAAAACTTATCATTAGAAAGCTACAAATGTTATATAATGAAAATTAGTGAGCTATACACTCTGGATTATTTAATGTTGAAAGTAATAATAATAAACGTTAACAATTTGAACAATAGTCATAAGAGCTAGAAGGAAATAATTGAAGCTAAAAAATTCTATTCGGAAATTTAATCCTGATAATTTACAATTAACTCAATATGAACAATTAATACAACAACATTTGATGTTTCCAACGCACTTTGCATCATTTCCGCTGCATCCGTTTCTGATACATAAGTCAACACATGGTGGTCTATTAAATCCACAGTCGTTTTGTGGAAAACACTTTCGTGGAGCATAACCTTCAGCCGCATCTAACTTTGGCATACCTTTTTAAATAAATAATTATGCTGTAAAATGAGAGAGCAATAATAACACCTACATAAACAAACTGTCTAACTTACACATTTGAACATCGGAAAACAGCTATTGCCTTTATTAACATACATACATAGCCGCACACACAAACACAAAAACACATTCCCCCCACACACACACATATATATATATAATATATAAACGCATAAAAAGTGTACAAAACAACTCCAAAATCAAAAAAGGGAAACATTAAATGCAATTATCTATAAATATTTCGGATAACAGATATCCTTCATCAGTATGATTATGATGTAAAATGAATCATATCGATCTAATCCGATTTAACTATAACAATTTTGAAATTTATACAATTAAAACCGAACACAAAAACGCTTGTACAATTCTTAAATTTCAAAAATGACGTAGGTTAGGTATTTACAACAGAGACTGCATAGTACTTACAAAAATAGTAATGTGCGATATGAACTGGTACATTTCTAAAATTTCACAGGTGACGAAAGTTAAGATATTTAAACAAAGACTGCGTAGAAATACATTCCCAATGAACAGCACTGACCGATTTGAGCTGGTATAATACTCAAATTTTAAATTTGACGACGGTAAAGTGATTATAATAGAGGCTGTGTATTTACACATCCCAAATAAATAACAGTATAATAATGATTAAAAAAAAATTTGAAAAAGGTTAAGTAATTGAACGTGGCTGCGTACTTATGTATCTCAAATTAATAGCACCCTGCGATTTAAACTGATATAATTCTAGAATTTTAGAGTTGACAAAGGTTAAGGAATAGCAACAGAGACTGTGTAGTAATATGAAATATAACCCAAATGAAAAGCACTGCGCGAATTAGAATTACACCTTTTCATTGATCCCAGTTGGTGCCAAAGTTTTTTATTTTCTTATCCAAAATCTTTCCCGAGCGAGTCTATCCTCCCTAGACCAAGCAGTGTTGTGGTCTATGATTTTAATGGTCAGTCGATTGAGATCTGCCTTAGTGTGGCCAAATGATCTCAAATGTCAACTGAGAGGAAGGTCTGGCTTGCATTCATAGTCGCTACGATGGCCGTTCATACGTTTGTGAAATGGCTGTTTTGACTCGCCAACATACTGTTTACTATTACCACATTTACACTGTAGAAGATACACAGCATTTGTAGTCTTGCAATTAACATTGCAAAATATGGTGTATTCCGTACCAGTGGAGTGACTGTTAAAAGCATGGGTATTCAGTATTTGCTTGCAATTCAGACATCGTCTGTTTCCGCATCCCTTGTAAGTGCCCACAGACGAAGAGCCTGATTCAGAGGATAAATCAGCTCTCACCAGCAAGTCTTTAAGGCTTTTGGGTCTACGGAAAGCCAGTACAGGTGGTTCGGGAACGATTTTGGATAGTTTAGGATGTTTTTCGATTTCTTTCCAATTTTCGCGGATAAGGTGTGATAACTTTGGATGGTAAGTCAGCACAAATGGCACTCTTTTGTTGATCTTTTTGTCTTTATATTTTAAAATCATCTCGGCTGATGTTGTTAGCACGAGAGAAACCGAAAAGGTCAACAAAAGAGTGCCGTTTGTGCTGACTTACCATCCCTTACCATAAACTTTGCAATATCTTTTATAACCTTTTAAGTTTCCAAGAGGGACGAAAGATACCAGAGGGACAGTCAAACTCATAGATCGAAAACAAACTGACAACGCCATGACCAAAAATAAAAAGACAAACAGACAAATAATAGTACAGATGACACAACATAGAAAACCAAAGACTAAGCAACACGAACCCCACCAAAAACTTGGGGTAATCTCAGGTGCTCCGGAAGGGTAAGCAGATCCTGCTCCACATGTGGCACCCGTCGTGTTGCTTATGTTATTACAAATCCGGTAAATAGTCTAATTCGGTAAGTCATATTCGTGAAAAGGGAGGGTATTGTAGTTACGACATAAGGAACATTATATTATATTCCAAATTATTTCTGTTTAAAAGTTGAAACTGGAAGTGGAAAATTTTGTATTACATCTTTTATGTTTGTTTATTTCCTTTTCTATGTGCACAAGGCACGAGCTCCTTAAATAACGAACAATAGTTAATCTCCAGACCCCAACAAAATGCAAAATAATTTAGAGCATGCAAACCGAAAGGGCATAAACAGCACAGACAAAACCAAAACAGTAAAAGATATTAAAATTATATCATGAATTGAAAATTAAAATAAACTAAAAATAGCATTAGTCTAGATCGGATCTGTTCAAATCAAGGCTTCAAAACAGTTAAAAGATTTATGTTTTAGTTAAGGTTCTTCTGACACAAAAACCTGCAAACAAGACAGATCTCCTTCAGTAGTGCATGTGATTCCTTCAATTTTTTAGTTTCAGTTTTTTAGCCTGATTTGTATCTTGCTTGATCTATGAGATTTGAACATCAGTTAACTACTGTTGTTTTTAAGTTGTGTATTTTGAAAAGATTCGAATAATTCGCCTTTTCAGAATCTAAAGGACTATGGGTAATCTCATCGTTCGTACACCAAAATGAAAATAACGTTACGTCATTGGTTGAACTTCCATTGTTTTGGTGTACGCTTTTGAAAATATTACCCAGAATACATTAGATTCTGAAACGGCGAAAATCTAAATCTCTTTCTTATTAATATCGAGAAAATATTCTCGATTTGACCTGACACCTTGTTTACTGAATTGTTCTACCATTATGATATGGAAAATACTTACAAACAAGACAAAATGCAAGAAGAAAAACAAATGTGTACGACCTCATTTCCCTCCTCGTATGTTGATATCCAGTAATCTGTAAAAATACAAAAGACATAATACAATGTTATAAAACGTATAGTATGTGAATTGTTTTAGAAAAATTTTTAAAATCTGTTTTGACATAAGCGTAGCAACATAATTAAGACCTTCAATATTGCTATTGCAACAAAAGTATATAGATATGGACATGTTCTATGAATGCCAATGAAACAACTATTCACAAAAGACCAAATGTCAAGGATGTAAGAATCATATTCTTAACTCAAAAAAGTTTACAAATGATTATACTCGATGTATGGTGAAACAAAATAGGCAGTCTACTAATGAGGACCTTTCTATGCACATACAATTTATTTCTTTGTAATGCTGATCATGTTTACAATTCATACGTTTAATATTTCTTCTATTGATTCAGTGATAACAGCCAAACTGCAATAACAATAATAGACAAAAAGTCACAACTTTAAGTCAGGTTGTCAAATTTTCAAAGTTGATATTTCTTGTCATGCTGATTATTTTGCAATTAACACTTTAAACCTATCTTACATTTGTATACAGTTTTAAAGATACCAGCAAAATACTGCGAAAATGGGAAAAATGCATATTTTAGGAGCAATAATTCTAAAACTGGTATTTCATTTTTCGGAAATTTTTGGGGTAAATTGAACTTGCCCTGCTGATCCTTTTTGCAATCTACACTTTTAACCTACCTCTTGTGGTCTTAAAGATAACGGTCAAAAACTGTAAAATTTGGTAAAAACTGACATTTCAGGGCAATAACTCCATATAGGGTCTTCCGATTTTTCTAAGTTTTCTCTCTCAGGTAGATTGAACTTGACATGCTGATTATTTTTGCTTTACACTTTTAAAACTCATATAGTTCTTGACACAATAGCAAAAAAGTGCAAGAAAACTAAAAATCATCATTTAAGGAGCAATAGCTCAAAAACAAGTGAACAGATTTTTCTGAAAATTGCAGAGTAAATGGAAGTTGTTGTATTGACCAATTTAATCCTATTAGAATCTAATTACTATAACATTTGAGATGAGATAAGATAAGATAAAGACCTATATTGGAATAAGCACAATTATACATGAATATCAAATTTAGATTATAACACTATTATGTAAGGAACATGAAATCTGTGATAATATAAATATATATATATATATATATATATATATATATATATATATATATATATATATATATATATAAGTGCCTATAAATAGCAGCACATGACATACAAATCTATGGGAGTGTGGATTAATCAGTACAGAGATTAATTCAATTACACAAATAAAATTATAGATTGCCTAACAATGTAATTTTAACACACTATTTAGTATGTAAATATAAGAATGTTTAAAATATTTAAAAAATGATGAAAATAAACGCAATATTTCGCTAGACTAACTAGCTTTATCAAGCGTGCATCTATCCAGGTGAAATCGGATGTAGATGATAAGAAACTTTTGCAGCTCAATGTATATGTTGCACTTGAATTTAGCTGCCTTGAAAATAATACATAATTTGGATGAAGTTCAAGATTTTTACAAAATTGGTAGTTGAAGTTAGCAACGTCCATTGGCCAATATTACAGGATAAAAAGGACGATGCTGTGTACTAAATTATTCTTTATCTTTCCTGTATCTTTTCTCATCTTTTTCGTTAAGACCATCAGGTTCTAAAGTGTGGAGTTGGTGGATCCAAAAATTTTCTCTTCTCCTTCTCGCCGTGGTGTCCCATTCGGTGTTGACTTCTATGATTTGGAAGGTAACATTATCAAAAGAATGTTTCGTTGAACGAAGATGTCTTGTGAGAGGACAGTTTTTGTTGGTTTTGTACCATGAACGATGGTTATTGAGCCGAATATTAAATTTGTCCATTGTTTCTCCCACATACTGAATGCCACATGTGTTACATGTTAATATATAAATTGAGTTCTCCGTTTTACAGTTGGAATTAGAGTAGATGGTATAATTTTGTTTAGTAACGGAGCTGATGAAAGAACTGCTTGTATTGGCAGCTTTACAACACAAGCAGTTCCTTCGACCACATTGTTTGTAGCAACCGGGAGATGGAGTAGGCTGCTTTGCTAATACAGATGTCACTAATTTGTCACGGATGTTTTTAGGTCTTCTGAAGGCCATGACTGGTGGTGAGGAAAATACTTTTTTAAGATTTGAATCATTTTCTATAATTTTCCAATGCTTCTGAACAATGGAAGACACATTTTTAAAATCAGGATGGTAAGTGAGTACAAGGGGTGTTCTGTTAGCTGCTTTATTCTTATCTTTGTACTCTAGAAGTTCTTGGCGACTAGTTTTGTTTGCTCTTTCGAAAGCGCTATCAATGATGTTGTTATTGTATCCTCGAACAACTAGATGTTTACGTAGTTGTCCAAGTCTAGCATTTTGCGTATTTTCAGTAGAGCATATTCTCTTGATTCGCAATGCCTGGCTGAATGGGATGCCACGGGAGCAGTGTTTAGGATGGCAACTTTTAGGAGAAAGGAATTGATGTTTGTCCGTTTGTTTGGTATGAAGGTCCGTTATAATGGTTCCGTTCTTGATGTAACTCGTAGTGTCGAGGAAGTTTATTTTCTCCATAGATGATTCATATGTAAATTTTATTGAATGGTGGAAAGAGTTACAGTGTCCTAGAAATTCATTAAGATGTTCTTGTGAATCTGTCCATTTGAAATCAATATCGTCAATGAATCGGAACCATGATAAGGGCTGGTATGGAGCACTAGCCAAGAGGCGTTTTTCAAGTTGGCCCATAAATATGTTGGCATATGACGGGGCCATTTTTGTGCCCATACTAGTACCGTCTATCTGGAGATAATGTTTTTCATTGAAAGAGAAGTTGTTGTTCTCTAGCACTAGTTTCAGAAGTGTAACAAGGCACTCAGTTGGAGGATTTTTTTCACTACGAGTGTTCCATACCTCTTCACACGCTGCTATTCCTTCGTCTTGTGGAATGTTGGTATATAAAGAAGACACGTCCATGGATGCAAGTATAGTATTGCTTGGTAGAGGATTGAGGCTTTCCATTTTCTTTAGATAATCAGTCGTATCTTGGATGTAAGAGGGTAGTTCTTTCACATGAGGTCTGCTGTATTATATATATATATATATATATAATACAGCAGAAAACATAATAAACACTATGAACACTTTGTTTATGATAAAAGACAATATAAATATAACCACGTTGATATGAAATTTCTGAGTTTCCAACTTTCACGCAAAAAAACACATCAAATTGCAAATAACTACAATTGAGATATTAGCCAACAACTGTAGAGTGACCCCTGTGTTCTATTTTTAGCCTCGGCGGCCATGTTTATTGATAAACCATGACGAAAATCACAAACTTCATAGACGACGTCCTATAAATGAAGCAGACAAAACGTTGGTTTTAATCCTTCGAGCAGTTTTAAAGGACAAGACAGACGACAGACGAACGGGCGGACGAACGGACGGACGACGGACTTAAAATGACGAGAAAAAGCTCACACGGATCTTATGACCATAAAGATAAACAACATTCATGCATAAAATCCTGAATCACCAAGGGAAGAAGATATTACAGCAATACGCTTAATAATTTGAAACAAGGCTGTTAACAATTAAATAGCAACTTAGTTTATATTTTAATCTTAAAGAGAAGCGAAAGATACCAATGGGTCATTCAAACTCAAAAATAAACTGACAACGCCATGGCTAAAAAAGAAAAAGACCGACAAACAGTAGTACACAAAACACAACATAGAAAACTAAAGACTAATATTCTGCTTTTAGCATATAAATACCGTTCGTCCGTACGTCTTTTCGTTCATCCGTTCTCCTCCAGTCTTTTAAGCGCTTTAACACGTAAATTCTTGTCAGATTTATGTTTAATTTATAACAAAATTTCTATTTCCAAATGAGGTATACCATTGGAAATATAGATTATAGAAAAAAAATCACATTGCAAGAGCTCTCACGCCTACATTTTCTTTTGGGATTTTTATGAAATTTATTTTTTTAGCGTTATAAAACCAGGTTCAATCCACCATCTTCTACATTAGAAAATGCCTGTACCAAGTCAGGAATATGACAGTTGTTGTCCATTCGTTTGATGTGTTTGTGCTTTTGATTTTGCCATTTGATTAGGGACTTTCCGTTTTGAATTTTCCTCGGAGTTCAGTATTTTTGTGATTTAACTTTTTATACCCAAGACATAGATCAGCAATAAGGTCTTGGACAATAATAGATCGCAGTCAACTGTTTTACCGGAATTATGTCCCTTGGAAATAAAAATACTGAAGTTATTGCACTTGAACAAATGAAATATGTTAATCGACGGGGGACAATGGAACGCCGTCATTTTATTCAAGAATACGTTAAGCATGGCCACTGTCTACCATTACACTAATCTGATGATTAAGCTAACTTAGTTTCAATGACATCGTTGAAAAAATTTAGACAAATTTCATACTTTGATACAAGAGGAGGATATCTTTTGTATCTATGAATGCATATTGAGTACGTTTCTTAACTGGGTTTTCCAATTGTTCAACTGATCCCCGTGTAAAAGTTCTAACAATTAGTTTTACTACAGTCCAAGAAAGTTTAGCAAAAAAGTGATTGAATAAGTTGAGATGCAGGATACAGTTAAATGAAATTTTAATTCAAGAACATGCGCCAATAAGTAATCACACTAAGTGGTCAACATACGATATATAATATATAAATTAATATAATGTATTACGCTCTGAATCTCACGAGTTTAAAAAAAAACATTTATTAATACATAAAAACATGATAATTGTGAATGAATTTAACAAACAATCATATTTGGTTTATCATTTATACGATAATATATTAATTATATTCTAAGACTAATTGTTGCTTAATTGGACAGTCAACAGAAAATGTTGCGGGGTCAAGAAGTTTTTTAAGATTTCAATCTTCACCCCCTTTTATTCTGGACAAGTGGCATAACAAAAAGTTTCAAAATAACGGACAATAAGGAATATCAGT